CCCCCCCCCCCAAATAAAAAAGGGAATCAGGCTCAGTCACCGCAGTTTGTAATTGAGCCTTGTGGCTGTACTACAAGTAGGACGGTCGTGACTATATAGACCAACAATCAGGAGTCCCGATACCGATGGAATGTATTTTGGCGACTGTTGTGGATACTGATTGTATGGAGCCGTAGTAATAGCATGGCGTGGGAACGAGAATAACATGGATTTGGATTTGAATTTGGATTTGGATGACTCTGACAACTTTCTCGATTTTTATGCGTGTCATTCTTTATAGCTTCAAGGGCCATTTTGCTAATTACCCCTCTTATGTATCATTCAGGTGTCCGAGGGTTCAAATCTACAAAACAATTTAGATGCAATTGTCATCGATTTCGATTTGGATTTGGATAACATCGATAATTTGGATTTGGATTAGATCGATAATTTGAATTTCGATAAGATCGATAATTTGGATTTCGATAAGATTGATAATTTGGACATAAAATTTTAGATTGGATTGTCATCGATTTGGATTTGGATTTGGATTTGGATTTGGATAAGATCGATAATTTGGAGAAAGATCGATAATTTCGATCTGGATAAGATCGATAATTTGGACTTGTGTCCCTTCGGGACATCCGCCGCTAAAGTTGGAACGATACAGAGGAGAGTAACTACCATGGGCCCTGCGTTGTCAAGGATGACACGCAAAAATCGAGAAATGGTCGAATTTTTTTTTACCTGGTGGTTGATCCTGCTAGAAGTCATTTGCTTGTCTTTGTTGGGGGAAAAAAAAGAAAAAGGACTTGAATAAAATTTAATAATGTGGATTTGGATTTGGATAAGATCGAGATAATGTGATTTGAGATTATTTGTGTAAGTCCAAATAAGGTGGATTCGATAAGATCGAGATCAGTCACAATCTGATTACCAAAAGAAAGTAATAACCAATCCAGAGTGTGAGTTAGGATTGGTTACATTTGACTGGAATTGCCTTTCGATCGACGTTGGATTGGTTATGAATTTCGTTTGCAAATTGGATTGTGACTAATCTCGATGGGATCATGAGTTAATTCGGATTGGATTTGTCAATTGTGGGTTTTTTCAATGGAAAACGATGTCCAAAAAAAAGGGTTAGAGTGATAATACTTGGGCTAGGATGTGTCGATGAAAGTGGATTAGTCGGTGAAAGTGGGTTCGGTCCGCGATATAATTAGCATGTGTCGATGAGCTATATGTCTTGTCAACATTGGATTCGGAATAAGTTGAATTGAATTGGATTGAATATGGATTGGATTAGATTAAGATGTAGAAACAGAGCACTACAGATTGATTGGATTGGATTGCATTGGGTTAAGATGTAGAAACGGAGCAGTACGAATAACGGATAACGAATCATAATCGGTTTGGGAACAGAGACAAAGATAGGAAGACGAATCGAAAGTCGGGCGTGTAAAGCTTGGTGATTGGACAAATTTACAGTAAAATCTGCGATAAGTGCTGATGACCAACTCTGACATGATAGGACCGGCATGGATTCTGTGTGTGTGTGTGTGTGTGTGTGTGTGTGTGTGTGTGTGTGTGTGTGTGCGTGTGTGTGTGTGTGTGCTGATCGTGTGTGTGTGTGTGTGTGTGTGTGTTGATCGTGTGTGTGTGCGTGTGCGTGCACGCAGCATTGTGTTCTATATTTAGAAGCAGCAGCAGCCCGCATGCTGGTCGATGACGCATGATGTTGTTGTTATTATGTTGTGTTGTGTCTCTCTTGTGTATGTAGGTAACATGCCTTCTCTCAATATTTTGAAGGGAATAGCAATCCAGGGTACCCGCGGTTCGATCCTGCGATCGGCCGATCTCTAGTAAGACCCGGTCTAATCCGGTCTCGATCGATCCGATTGCAACTGATCCGTGATCCGATCCCGATCGAATCGGATCCTGTCTTATTTTTATCCAACGGTCATCGGGAGAGAAGCTAGCCACGTCAGCAGAAAAAGGGAAGCCGAAAAAAAAATGGCGGGCCAGTGACAACAAGGGAGGGGATAAACACGACGTGACAAGAAGCAAGAAGCTAGCGGAGAGACCCGACGTGTCTTGATGTGCGGGAAGATGATCTTGCGAATCCGGGCGATGACGACTGTGTGACACGTGTGCGTTTGCCACGTGGCACATGGATTTTGGAGACATGGTGACGTCCGAAAATTTGTGATATCGTCGTTCAATTTGTGCGGCACTTGTGCTTCCCAACAGGTGTCACATGAGCTGGGCGATTGGAGATGTCACGCACAGATTCGCGATGTGAGTGTGTGTGAAACAGTGAAAGTGAAATCCGACGTGTCATTGTGTGATTGTTGTGCGCGGTGTGTGATTTGCATGCCGATTTCAGGACGTTGACTTGTAAAACGGTGTCAAGTGGTGCACGTGAGGGGTCCTGAGTTTTATTTTGTGTGCGTGGAAGCCGGCTCCGTTTGGCTCCATTTGGCTCCGTTTGTGGCTAGTACCTTTCCCGCGTGGGAAAATAGGGAAAACTGGCTATCCTGAAAATTCGGAGGCCAGGCCCAACGACAAACGAAAAGACAGCCGCCGATCAGATTTATCAATGGCAGACATTTCTTTTGTCATAGGGCCTGGCCTCCAAATTTTCAGGATAGCCAGTTTTCCCTATTTTCCCACGCCAGCGCGCATTTTCTGAGTGCTGGGTCCACGCTCTCCACTCCACCCTCAAATCTCAGATGTAGGCATACAACCATTTCTGAGGATCCACAGTGTCCATATGATGGCACCTCTGATTGTCTCTTCCGCGTGGCCGTATTGCAAAGGCGGTGTAGTCCTCCTGGCAGCTGCCCCCAGCAGAATGAAACCATCATCCCAACGAGTTAACACCCCCGGTACTGGCACACCCGAGTGTCTCCAGCAATCCCAAAAAGGCCAAGAAAGGTCACATTGTAGCACAAAGTGTTGGATATCTTCCATCCTAGTTCCCTGGCATATCCGACATTCAGGTGTTGCTTTCACTGTTCTTTTGGCGCACCAAGTATTAACCAGCAACGCCAAGTGCATCAGCAACCAAAGGAGGCTTGAGTGCTTACTCACCACCAGGTCCATCAGCTGCTTCCAAAAGGCCGGGAGCGCTGCAGACAGTCTTGTCACAGTGTCTGCCACCCAGCCGGTGGCCATCCATCTTCTTGCCACTGTCCAATTGAGGTTGATCGGCGGAGTCATTATTTGAGAAAGCTTCCTCCTTTTAACAAGTACTATTTGCAGACTTTGATACTTTGGCAGACGACATTCTTTTGTTCTACAAAAACTGTGGTATTGTAGGCCTTGTATTTTTTTGCAGG